GGAAACCCATATTTAAAGCCTCAAATCTCTAGACATTATTCTAGGGGCCACCCCTAAATAATGTCAGGCAGCTATCAGTTTATTTCTAATTTTTATAGTTAGATATATTCATGAAAGGTAATCTCATTTTTTGGCCACCACTCCTCCTTAGCAGATGGAGGGCTTTGAAGAAAAAGACATGATTGCAGAAGCGCAAAGGAAGGCAGATCAAATTTTAAGGGAAGCACAGTTGAAGGCAGAACAGATTTTGAAGCAGGCTCAAGGGAAGACTTCTGCTCCAGTGGTTCAAAGAAAGCTTTCAGACCAGTTCAAGACACCAGATAGACCAACATCAAGCTTCAAGAGTCCAGTTTCCAGCCAAGAACATCTTGAAGATAGCCAGGATACCAATTCCAGTGGCAAATCACCTTTGTCACAATTTGGTTTGGAGAAGTTTTTTGGCAGTCCAAAAGAGCAGGCAGAAGCAAGACCTGTTTTGGAGAGAAAGGTTTTAGGGAAAGAAAGAAAGAAAGAGATCTGTTAAAGAGATTGAGCTTGATGAGTTGAAGCAGCAATATATGAAGAGATTGAAGGTAGTGGAGGATTTAGAGGCAGAGAAGGCTATTGTTCCAAGTCCTGTTGAGACAGGAAAACTTGGAGGTAGACCACGTGTTGAAGAGTACAGCACTGCTGGATTGAAGAGTAACAGGAAAAGAGCTGGCCAGCCTTCAAGGAGAAAGGAGTTCTCAGTTGTAGAGAAAGTCAAGATTGCAGAGGACTTGGAGAACATGCAAAAGGAATCTTCCAGCAGCAAAGAGCTCTTCAAGAAAGGCAGGTCCAGATATGGCCTAGACACCAGGACCTTGAAGCACCTCATGTCCAAAAAGAAACACTTTGAAGACCAAAAGTCAAAGTTGAAGATGAAGAGAGGCAGAGTTGTAGGGTCAAGGTTAGTCAGGGCAAAGGGTGCAGGCAGAAAGTTGGAGTTTCAGAAGGAGATTGACAAGGTCAAAGAAATTATTTTGAAGGAGAGGTCCAATGGAGTTGTGCTTGCAAAGGGTGACCTCCTGGATGAGTTTCTAGCACAACTGATTTCTTCAGCCCAAGAATGTTTGAAGCAAGCAGAGCTTTCAAAGAGTGAGGCCCAGAAGAAGTCTTGGAACCTTGAAGCCAAGTATTACTTTGCCAGAAGGGACAAACTTCTAGGCAGCAAGAAGTACAGGCAGTCTTTCTCCACAAGGCTTTTAGAGTACTGTGGTTCAAAGGAAGTGAGCAAGGAGTTGGTAAGCCCTTTGAGTGCACTTGAAGAGAAGACGCGGGCTCAATTGTCTTGGCAAGCCATTGACAGAATGGTGTGGCTTGCAGGTGCATCCCCTGAGGAAGACCTCTTGAAGTCTGATATCTTTGCAGACCCCAAGGATGTGTTGAAGCCTGAAGTTCGGGAATTGCTGACCATTGGCTTTTCAGACCAGGTCCCACTTTGGGCCAAAGCTGAGAGTTCAAAGATGGTGGTTTCTAGTGCAGAACTTTCAGGCATCACAACTGCAGACAGGAAGCAGTTTGATCTGTTCAGGAAAGACATGCTTCAAGCTGTTGATTTCTTCAAGCCAGAAGATGCTTCCAGCCAGGTGGTGACCTTGGAAGGCGTAAGCAAGTTTGCAGGTGAAAGGAGGATTGCAGGAAGTTTGACTGCCAAGGGGGTTGCAGAGAATTCCAAGTTTAGAATCACTTATGAGGCGCGCCAAAGGATTGTAGGCCTGCCAGTTGGGAGTGATGGTGTTAGAGGGGAGGTTGCTGCTGGACTACTGGTTTTTCCAGGGGTGCATGCAAGGCTGTCAAATCTTGACAGCAATGGCAGGTGGATTAAAAGTGAGGAGTTTGAAGTTGCAGGTCAAAAGATTGTTCACAAGGCAGGCGGGGCTTCAAGGGCCTTGAAGTGGGCTGTTGATTTGAGGAAGGAAGCTCCTGAGCTGTTTGAAGGCAAGCTGGACATTATGAGTCAGCCTTCCTGCAACCTTGACAGTGTTCTTTTGAAGTGGGTGATTGAAGACCAGATTGAAAAAGAACCTGTTGCAGTCTGGATTAGAGATAGCTTTGCAGCCATTTTTTCTGATGAGATTAGAGAAACCCAGGCCCTTGGAAACCAAGTTTCAGCCATTCTTTTAGGCAAGACAACCCAAAGGTTGCAGCTGACAGACACAGATTTTGCCAAAGCCTTCAAGGCTGATTTCAGAAAGGCTCTTGCAGAGAAGAGGAGTTCTCACAGGCAGTCTGGCAAGGAGGGCACTTTCAAGATTTCCTACAGGACAGTGATTGAAGCCACCCTTCAAGCCCAGGAGGCTGCAGTCAAGAGAAACTTGGAGACTTCATGGGTGATTAAAGGAGCCTTCAGAAATGCACTTGTCATTTACAGGCCAGACTTCAAGAGTGGGACTTTGAAGCCACTTGAAGCAAAGGATTGTGGCCTTAAAGAATTGGACCTTGGGAGCCACAGGATTCCAAGTGAATGGTTGGTTCCCAGAAAGAGCTGGTTGCAGAATGGCATTCCAATGGAGCCAGAGTTCTCTTTGAGCCAGGCAGCAACCAATCTTCAGAACCTTCTAGACTGGGCTGCTTACACAAACCCAGCCCTTGAAGATGAGGAGGAGAATCCCCTAGACATTGATGATTCCATTGAAGAGTCTCTGGGGCTTGGTTTGAAGAATTCCTTGTTTTTGAGACTTCATCCAAAGGTGAGGAAAGCAGCTTTCTTAGCTCAGAAAGATGCAAAGTTTTCAGAAGTACTTGAGAGCTCCAAGGAAAAAGCTGCAAGACTCAAGCACAGGGCAGCTTTGAGGCCTGGTTTGTTGAAGGCTCTTAGAGAGAAGCTTAAAGGAATGAGCAAGAAGGAAGCAATTGAACAGGTGGTTGCCAAGAGCAATGCAAGCAAGAAGAAGATTTCAGCAATCTTCAAGCCTGGTGCAAAGACAAAGCCATCCATTTTCAAGAAAGCAGCTCTGAAAAACCTCAAGAAAAGCAAGGCAAAGCAGGATGCAGACAAGGGCATTCCAGCAGCCTTGAAGGGTGACAAGAAGAAAGAGTTGGATGCAATTGTTGAACTTCCTGGGGAGACAGTTCTTTGTAGAATTGTTTCAGAGAGTGAAGGGAAAGGGAAGTATGGGCAAGAAGGGATGGTTGAAGTGAAGAGCTTGGAGAAAGATGGGGGTGAGTTTTGCCAGCTCCTTGGAGACAAGCTCGCAGTTGTGACTTGCAAGGTTTCAAGTCTTCTTGTCAAGCAAAAGACATGGCTTCCAGTGAAGGAGTGGGCTCCTTTCAACAAGCTTTCTAGAAAAAGTAAAGGTGAAGCCCTTTACATGATTGGCTTGAAGCCAGAGCCCTTTGCAAGCGCTGGTGATGATTTGATGGACCTTCCAAGTCATGATGAGAACTTTGATTCTCAGCATATGCTGGTTGGCTTTGAGCTTTTGAGGTGGCGGTTCCAGGACTACTTGAAGGAGGTGGCCCTCATAGACCCTTATTTGACCACAATGTATTTGAGAGATGAGGATGTTCCACAAAGAGAGTTGTTGAAGAAGACCATTCAAGACTTTGGGGAATCAGATTCGCGGGTGCTTCTTTGTCCAATTTGGAGTGCCAAGACAATTTGTCATTGGACTCTGCTTACAGCTGAGAGGGTTGAAGGGAAGTGGTCTTTTAGGTACAGGGATACCTTGGCAGACCCAGTAGAAGATTCCTTGAAGAAGGCTTGCAGTATAGCCAGCCTTTTGCAGAAGGAAGAGGTGTCTTTGAAGATTTGCAACTCATTCCAGCAAGTTGGAAGCACATGTGGGCTTTGGACTCTTGCATACATGATGGAAGAGGCTTGCAGCTTGTTTGAAGGCTTGGCTTCCAGAGGACACCCAAACATTAACCTTTTGAGGATGAAGTTTGTAGCTTGGTGGCACCAGCTTTCAGCAGAGAAGAAGAAACTTGAAGAAACCAAGAAGGAACTTGAAGAGAAGGCAGAGAAAGTTGCAGTCCAGCAAGAGAAAGCCAAGGAGAAAGCCTTGCAGCAGCTCTCCAAATTGAAGAGCCATACCAGTGCTGCAGCCATTAAAGCCCAGCAGTTGCTTGAAGCCAATAGCAAGTACTTCAAGCTGGAACAGCTGAGTGAGGCTTCAAGGTACAAGATTGAAGGCACCCTTTCAAAGGGAAACATCTGTTCCAAGTGCAGATGGAACAGTGGATGCTTGGAGTGTCACCCAGGCAAGGCTTTGAAGTACTATTGGAGCAAAGAGGCGCATTCAAAGAGCCTTGTTCCAAGACCAGAACTTCCAAAGAATTGGGAGCACCTTTCAGGACAGGGGGGG